TTTTAAGTTAAATGTAACAAATTTTTAAAAAGCCTGTGCTTAAAAAAAATAAATAAATAAACTATTTGCCAAAGTGCTAAAAAAACTGAACATAACTCGAGATACACTGCCGTTCAAAAGTTTGGGGCCAGTAAGATTATTAAATTTTTTTAAAGAGATTGATAACTTTTACATTAATATAATACTTAAAAAAAACTATTAATTCATTCATTCATTCTCTGCTGCTCTAACAGACATAAAAGTGATATTGCTATAGACAATTCTCAAATTTACAGAAACAGTGAGTGTGTGTGTGTGTGTGTGTGTGTGTGTGTGTGTGTGTGAGAGAGAGAGAGCCACATGCTGACCTCATGCATAACAAGGAGAATGCTTTTGATTAAGTCATTTCCTGATTTGAGAGTATAATTGAACACCCTGCAGAATCTGCATTTGCAGCCTTGCCGAACAATTCAGAAAGGGCAGAAGTTAATTTGTCCTGTGTCCCAGATATTTAAGAACAATTTTCTCACCCCAGACTAGAGAAAGTGCTTTGTGGTTTTGTTTTTCCTACAACGCATTTTGTCTCTGTTTATTTCCAGAGGCTCCTACTCTCAAATCCTAAAATGTACTTTCTGAGCTCTCCTAATTTCCATTACTTTCCTTCATAGATTATGCTTTGCCCAATCTGATTTTGACTCAACTTCCACACGTTTCTATTATACAATATGATTTAGTAAAAGTATTGATACGTATAGATATTATAGATAAGTAGATTTCCATTTCCAGAAAAAATTATCAGCTTCAAAAGTTTAATCTAAGCTTGCCTCAGGTTTTAGGATTTAGTTATGTTTTAAATTAAATGTCAGAGCCATTTTCATGACACTCGGTGTGTCTTGTTTTCTGTTGAGTGTGCACTATTTATGCAAAAAAAAAAAAAAACTAATAATGGATCACAATTAAGTATGCAAATATTACAATGACCCTATCAATGGTTGTTTACATTTGGAAGACAGTACAATATAACTGTACGTTAAATTGGAATTTTTCAAGTCTATAGTCTATGATATTTTATAGTATAAAGTTAAAATAAAATTAAAATCCAGAAATATGGAAAACATCTTAAGTAGCACCTGTCCTGAATTCACTGAGGTGTTGTGTAGCAGAAACATAGCTACAAGTGCTGAATACAGCAGAAAATGTGCTTAACCTATTTGTCAACACAATCTTTTGCAATATAGGCTTTTATGCAGAAATATAACATGATGAAATTAACTACTCATCCATTGTTTGAAAAAGACATCTGTCAGGCTTAATGCAAATTACACACAGTAATGTGTGACAGGCACATTAACAGTGCATTCTGTTTAGTAAATCTGACTGAATCCAAATAATTTGATCATTTTTTTTATTTTTGTTATTTGGGTTCAGTGAAGTTTTAAGGTAAGCAATAGCCACATTTTTGACACCTTACCTAGTGATAATCTTTCAGGTAATATTAATATATATATTTTTTAAACTAGCGTCATTCCATAAATAGCCACGCACAGCACCTTTAACTATTTGAATGTAAATGTGAGTCTATAGTTTGAATGGTATGAACTGAATACATTGCAGAAAGAACAACAACAGTAGAACAATAGACAGTGAAGTCCTTATTAAATAGATTTTTTATTGCAGTCAGCCAAAAGCCAGTGTCATATTATATATATTTTATTATTTTTTTTAAATGTTTGGCTTTATATTGAAGTGTAAAAAAATCTGTATGGTTTTATTGACTATCTTCATTTTCCACATAGCATTGAATGATTTACTTTAGTAATAGTTTTGTGTTCTTATTTTCCTGTATTTAAATTGTGAGGTGTTCTAGTTTCAGATTAGATGGAACAACTAGTATGATCATCGACTGTGGCACAGACACAAAACAAATAGCAAATAGACAGATAGCACCATATGGTGATAGAAAAAAAAATGTCAGAGATTCCCAACGCAGTAAGTGTGTGTGTGATGGGAGTTTAGCTGAATCTAGGTCTCATGAAAGGTTGAGAGCAAATCCTGCTGGGTCTTCTCACATGCGCACAGGAAGTAGTGCCCTTGTGTTTCCCACTTCTTAGCCCACACCTACTGTATATGAAGGGATACTGCTCAATGCAGAGTGGAATGAATATGGAGCATCCATCTATCACAGTGATGGAGGAGAGAGTATGAGAGTTGTGCGCATAGCTGGAGGCCAGTGGAGATAACAGTAAGGGCACAAAAGGTTGTTTCCCTGAAAAATGATCCACTGAGAACAGCTTATCACCTTTGTACTGCACGCACACACACATAAACACAAACACATCTGGCTGGAAGCAGTCAAATAGATAATGTCACATGCTTCTCGCTGTCATGTAAAATTCACACCAAAAATATATATATGTTTTTTTTTATTTTTAATCTGCTCATGTTAAACTATTAGTCACATGGATTCCCATTTCCTTGCTCTTGAACTGGTTAATAACATAATTTATCATGTTTTAGCATTGAGAACATTTCAGTGATGATCAATGTGTATTGATGTTGCCTATACAAGTCAGCTCATAGTTACAGTCATCAGCGTGTCCTGTACTGGGGCTTTGGTTTACTATGAAACATTCTTAAAGGAAAAGTTCACCTAAAAATGAAAATTTGCTGAAAAAATGACCCTCAGGCCATCCATAATGTAGATGAGTTCGTTTCTTTATTGGAACAGATCTGGAAATAATTTGGAAATTTAGCATCACATCACTTGCTCGCCAATGAATCCTCTGCAGTGAATGGGTGCCGTCAGAATGAGAGTTCAAACAGCTGATAAAAACATCACAATAATCCACGTGACTCCAGTCCATCAATTAACATATTGTGAAGCAAAAAGCTGTGTGTGTGTTTGTAAGAAACAAATCATTTCTAATTCCAAACGGCTGCTTCCAGCTAAAAAGTGAAAAAAATCCAGTTTCACTTTCTCCAATGAAAAAGTTGTCTCATGTGAATCAGGAGAGAAATATGCAGAGATAAACACCATTTACAAGCCCATGAAAACATCTCAAAACAGAGTTTAAATAAATGTGTTGGTAGATTTTGATTTTTGGTTTGAAGACAACAGAAAATGGAAATTTTCTTAGCATTATTATGATTATGAACTTTATTTTGGCCAAAATCAATGGTTTAAAGTTAAAACGCCTTAATGTTGGATTTGTTTATTACAAACACTCATTTCATTTTCACAAGATGTTAACTGATAGACCGGATTTGTATGGATTACGTGTTGATTACTGTGAAGTTTGTATCAGCTGTTTGAACTCTCATTCTGACTGCACCCATTCACTGCAGAGGATCCATTGGTTGAGCAAGTGATATAATGCTAAATTTAAAGTAATTTTTTCCTAATACTTTTGAATCTCAGTTTTCACTCTGCTTTAATGATAGTTGAAGCATGACTGTAGAGATAAATGAGGGTTTCGTCTCCCTCTAGCATCCTCCTGAGCAGCATCCATGAGTTCTTTGTTCTTCCTCAAGTCTCTCTCCCTTATTTGTAAAGAAAAAAAAAATCATTGAGGAGTTATTTTGGGTGCCGCATGCATGCTTCAGTGGACCAACAAGAATCATGGACAGCAATATTTGCTGCTCTTCCCTTTCCTCCTCCTTTCTGTCTTTACCTGCATCCCCTGTACCAAGTCCAAAGCCTCTCTTAGAGTTGAATATGCATCTGTGCAAAAGATTGCCTGCGATTTTCCCCTCTCAAGAGCAAGTGCATTAGAGCACAAATGAAGAGTTGTGAAAAACAGCACATCAATTACAGTCATTTTGAGGGCAGAGGTAGACAAAAGCTGAGAGACGACATTTGTGTGCATGTGCGCAGGGCCAGTGGGTTGTACTTTGATACAGAGGTTGTGCAGTGGATTTTGATTAAGAGCTCTTGATGATTACCTGTTCTTATCAGGGTGAGCATGATACATGCTTTTGATGAAGAAAATGACTGCGCCCACACGCCCATTTGGGTGGCTCACGACTCAGTCTGTTTAGGCCTAGATGCTGCCCAGAAACCTGGTGTGTTTTTGATTCTGCTTTGTTTGGCTTCACTTAGCAGAAATATGGAGACCCTCATGAGTAGGATGTGCCAGCTAAATAAAGAGAAACTATAATCATACTCATAGTCAAAGCACTATGTAATAATAGTGATTTTTACCAAAGGTAAGAGTTTAAAAAAATAAATAAATTAATTTATCCTATTTATAATACATCAATAAATAAATGCATAAATATTCTACCAAAAATGTGGGATTGGTAAGATGTCATGATTTCTTATGTTTTTGAAAGAAGTAAATATTTTGTTCACCAATTTATTTGAAAAAAAAATTAAAATACAGTTATAATACAGGTAACGTTTGAAATAATATTACAATTTAAAATAACTGTGTTCTATTTTAAAATATTTTAAAATTGAATTTATTCCTGTGATGGAAAAGCTGAATTTTCAGCATTACTACTCCAGTTTGTAGCATCACATCATCCTTCAGATTTGTAAAAAAAATATTATCAACATCAAAAACAGTTGTGCTGCTTAATATTTTCATGGAAACAATTAAAACTTTTTTTTTTTCTCCACAGGATTATTTTATGACTAGAAAGTTCAAAAGAACTAAACTAGTAGTGTAATTTTTCAATAATTCATCTAATCTATTAATAGGCACAATTAACTTTTCTTCACAAAGTAAATTTGTTATTAGCCTTTAGGCTGTTTGCAAGCAATGTGACATTTATTATTTATAATACATTTAAGTGGTTAACATTAATAATGAATTTAACTATTGTGTGGTCACAGCAGTTTTGAATGTTCTTTATCCAATCAGGTTTGTGTCTACCATTTGTTTTAACATCACTGGCTTAGAATAAATTGGCAGTGTAATATTTTAACATCAAAGAAATGACAACCATCATCTTTTAAGGATGTGCTCACAATTTAAATACAATTTGTCAAATATCAATACTTTTTTCCCCCTCTACAGCTACGCAAGTCAGTCCCTCAGAGCTGCAAGACGTTTTCCAGGAAACCTCCTCTAACATCTTCCAGATCAATGCTAACGGTGAGTTTAAAAAGCCTCCAAATATTCTGAACTCGATAGAGAGCCATTAAGCATGGCTTGAGTTGTAAGGTGAAAGTGACAAAACTAAAAACAAAGCAATTTCTGTCTGTCTTTTTCAGTGGTAACACTAGAGAAAACCCTTCAATCGCTGGGAACATCCAGAGACACAGCAGAGCTACGGCAGAGTTTGTAAGTTAACACACATGCGCAAACCTGAGCGTGCATGCTAATAACGCATTGATGTTGAGTGCATATATAATTTTAGATAATTTGATATTTATAAATAAACTCCCAGGACCTTTTATTGCAGCAGAGAAAAGTAGATTTGTACTACATTCTGATGTGATGATATTCCCTCACAGGCCTTCAGTGGTTTTAATAGCTTCCTTTTTGCTGACTCTATAGAGCTCTTTAAAACCGACCAACATATGAGTGCTCGCTCTCACTGTTTCATCACCTACCGGCCAGCATGTATTGATTACTCATCTGACTTCTGTAGTCAGGATGCCGCAATTACTAAATTTCTTTCCGATGACAAAGTAGCTGCATGGTCTGAAATTGCTGTTGTTTGAAATGCATTACACAATCTGTGTCCAGTGGCGAATCATCAATTATATCAGCCATTTTTTGTTAATGAAAGCACTGAAAACCTAATGCTGTCTAGAGTGTGTGTGTGTGGTTGTTTTTATTTCCCTTGAAGAATCACCATCCCTAAGGCGCAACATGACATCTATTGTTTGCTATAAAGCCTTTGGGCAGATTGGCTGCCTAAAACCAAATGAGATAAGCAGCAATGTCTTTCTGCTGCTACACCCTCTGCTGTTCTTATGGAGTGACTGCATGCTAGATAATAAAGAATTACGAGCTAAAATTATATCACGAATTGCATTAGCGTGTAACATTTCCCTTGTGTGCTGCTGCAGTCTTGTCTTGTAGGGAATTGTACGAAGTGTAGGTTTATTGCAGACAGCTAGTCTCAAGCACACCTGAGTCATTAGCTGATGTGAAATGTCTAGTGTGCAAAATATCTGTGATATATTTGTTGTATCCACTTCATTAGCGTCTGCATGTATATTCAACAAAGTTGCACCTGCTTCTCTTGCTTTTTCTTTGCGTCTCTCACTTTTTCAGTCTTTTGAACTCTCCATTAGGGATGAATGTTACAAATCCACTGACTCTGTTCAAACATTAATGTATGCACATTCACCAGTAATTACAATGATTTCAATGAGTAGTTAACCCCAAAACATTTTCTTCTGTAGAACACAAAAGTTGGGTTTTAAAGATTTGTGCTGGTCGCTTATTTCCATGCAGCTACAAAGAATGGAAAGCAAGGCTTTCTAGCTTTAAAAAGATACAAAAGCACCATAAACGTCTAATAAAAGTAGTTTGTATGAGTCATGCACTAAATTCCAAGTTTTCTGAAGCCATATGATGTAAAGCAATCATTATTCACTGTGAACCTTGACTTCCGTTCTAACTGTATTTGGCATGTTCATAAGAGAAGTAAATAATGCCAGAATTTTCATTTTTTGATGAACTATCTGTCTCATTGTGAGCGATGTGTTAAGGAGAATACACAATACACAATAACAGTTCTCTGATTCAGTCAGTGAGTCATTAGACTGATTCACACTGACAACTCAAGAGTTTGAGACTGATTTGAGTCTTTTTGAGTGATTCATTAAAAAGAACAGCTCATAAGTCCAGATTGGCTGCCTAAAACCAAATGAGATAAGCAGCAATGTCTTTCTGCTGCTACACCCTCTGCTGTTCTTATGGAGTGACTGCATGCTAGATAATAAAGAATTACGAGCTAAAATTATATCACGAATTGCATTAGCGTGTAACATTTCCCTTGTGTGCTGCTGCAGTCTTGTCTTGTAGGGAATTGTACGAAGTGTAGGTTTATTGCAGACAGCTAGTCTCAAGCACACCTGAGTCATTAGCTGATGTGAAATGTCTAGTGTGCAAAATATCTGTGATATATTTGTTGTATCCACTTCATTAGCGTCTGCATGTATATTCAACAAAGTTGCACCTGCTTCTCTTGCTTTTTCTTTGCGTCTCTCACTTTTTCAGTCTTTTGAACTCTCCATTAGGGATGAATGTTACAAATCCACTGGAGTTCCTTAATGAATACACAATAACAGTTCTCTGATTCAGTCAGTGAGTCATTAGACTGATTCACACTGACAACTCAAGAGTTTGAGACTGATTTGAGTCTTTTTGAGTGATTCATTAAAAAGAACAGCTCATAAGTCAACGGAAGTCCATAAATAGCAACATGAGCAAACCAGCTACAATGAGTGAATATATGTTTAAAATACCAAACTCACTGTAGCTCATGCTTCTCACAATTTTTTTTTTTTTTTTGCTGTTTCTTAGTTGACCTTGAATGTGCTTCCCTTCGTGCCAGGCTTAATCCTGCTGCTCCAAACAGGGCACTTGACAGCAACCCCCTCTCTCGCTCTCTCTGTCACTCTTTCTCTGACTCTACCCATTTTCTTACTCTTTCTGCCCTCTGCTGCACCCCAGCCATGATTCTATTACAACCAGTTTCCACGGAAACCTCGCAGTTCCAGGGTCATACCTCCCAGATGGTGATATGTCGCCCAAAGGCCCTGGCAGACTGCCCAGCCCCCCAAAACTTCCTCACACACACACACACACACACACATACAAACATTTGCCTGGCAAAAATGCCCCCCCCCCCCAATGTCACAGGCAATCAAGATATGGACTGCCAGTGCGCTAAAAATGCACTAACTGAGTGGACTTCAGAGACTGGCAATAAAAGAGACCGATGAGGCACATGGCTACTGTTTTGTGTGATTTGTGGGTATTTTGTTGCATGACTTAATCTATAAAATTTTTTTTTTAATAACCTGTAGAAATGGAATGACATCTTAAAAAATTTCAATTGAGACTTCAACCACTAATTAAAAAAAATAATAATTAATGATGCCTGTCAATCAAACAGAGCACAGCAGAAAGGGAGTGCAGTCACTATTAAACATCAAATTTAGATTTTTAATAACTTTAAATAGCAATATTTCTATAGGTGTTGCATTATATTTTATGAGCAGTAACTTTAGACTATACCAGTGTTTGCTTTATATTGCAATTATACAGCATATTATTAAAATTATATATTATTGCAACTTATGTATTTAACCATTATTGCTCACAACATATAACATACTCTATTATTCAAAAGTTTTTGTTTTTAATTAATATTTATTAATTCAGTAAGGACATATTAAACTGATAAAATAATGTTACAAAATACTTTTATTTAACATAAATGCATCATATAATAAATAAATAAATACATAATACATGCATGCATACACAACATTAAACAGCACAACTGTTGTCAACATTGGTAATAATAATAAGAAATGTCTCATGAGTACCAACTTAGCAAATTAAAATGATTGTTGGATAATCATGTGATGGCTGCTAAAAAATTAAGCTGTGCCATCACATGAATAAATTACATTTTAAAATATATTAATGTTGAAAACAGTTATTTTAAATTTTAATAATATTTCCACAATATTACTGTTCCTACTGTAACTTTGATTAAATAAATGCAGTCTTGGTAAACACTTCTTTCAAAAGCAGTACATTCTTTTTTTCGTTTCTTTTCTTTTGTATAGTGTACTTTGTTGAACATTGTTCAAAGGTGAGAATTTGGCATGTAATCAAGAAAGAAAGCATAAATAAATGTAATAAAAATAGCAATAAATGGACAGTAAATTAACTATCACAAAGCATTTTAGAATAATAAAAAGAGTTTAAATTATTTAAAAAAAATAACTAGTTGTAGCCCTGCTCTCAAGTGTTAGCTTGACAACTTACAACTCTAAGTGTTTGTACACGTGCAGTGCATCGTATTCCAGTGAAAAATCACTTGGCTAATTAAATTCGACCCATCTTTGTAATCATAGAAACACACACGCAGCAAAACTAAGTGGATTAATCGTTCACACCCTTTGTTTGTCATTGTGCTCTTTAGAGCATTACACATTCCGCTCTGCTGCGTACAGGGCTTCTGAGAGACGCTCTTCGTCTTTGGAGTGGAGGACACGCTGCACTGTCCGTCCTCGTCTCTGCTGAGGATTCTGTAGACAGAAGGTGAGCCTTATGCTGAGAAGCCTGTAAGGACCAAAATTACATTCAAGTAGATGGTCGTATCAAAAAGGTGCCTCGAATGTTTGCTCAAAAAATGGCAAATTATGGCATTATTTACCCTCTGTGACTTTCCTTCTTTTGTATACCACAAATGGAGATGTAACGTGTCATGTTTTATTAATTTATATGCAAACACAAGATTTCATGAGAGCAGCAGCAGATGAGAAACTTTTCAGTGAGAAATTATTTGAGTTTCAGTGTTCTTTCTCACACAAAGCTATCGTATGACTTCAGAAGACTTGGGTGCATGAGTGTTTTGGGGTGCTTTTTGTAGTTGCTGGACCTTGACAGCCTCTATTCACAGACTTGCATTGTATGGAAAAGAGCAGCACCATTCAAAAACGTCCTCTTTTGTGTTCAGAGGAAGAAAGAAAGTCATATAGGTTCGAAACAACACGCGAATGAGTAAATGATGACAAGGGTTACATATTGTTTACACAATGGCAGTCAATTATTCATAATGTATTGATTTGCACTAATTCTCTTAACATTTCCTTTCTAAAAAATCCTATTCAAAAAGTCTTCCAGTTTTATGGAATTGCACACACCAGCTGCTAGTCAGGTGAATATAATTACACAGAAAATGGAGAGGCCACACAATTAGTTTAATTTTACATTTTTTGTGATTTTATTAATTACAGTAGCTTTTCATCACAAACCCCCTGCAATTCTTTCAGGAACCCCAGTTTGATGCACTTAATGCACTTCATGATGTTGATAACAACGATTGGAGAATATTATCTTATGAGTTAGGTCAAAAGTAATCTAAAAGTAGTTAGAATAATGTGTATTCCAATAGATTACATTACTAACTAAAATTTCCATTATGTAATTTGTAATCAATAATGGACTTCTTTTTGTAAGTAATCTACCCAGCACTGACTATTCATTTTATGATGTTGAGGATAAAAATCAGGATGTCATAGGTACCATAGTTTACCACTGCTGCAAATCAGATATGATATTCAGTATTTCATATTAGTGATTAC